TACGTAAAATACGGGATGTATGTATTAGCGTAATACGGGATGTATGTTGTATACGTAAATACAGGTATGTATGTATACGTAAATACGGGATGTTATGTATACGTAAATAGGCATGTATTTATACCTGTAAATACGGGATGTATGTATACGTAAAATACAGGATGTTGTATACGTAAATTACGGTGATTGTATGTGATCGCTAAATACGGGCATGTATGTTAACGATAATACGGGTATTATGTATACGTAAATAGGGATGTATGTAGTACGTAAATACTGTTATGTTATGAATATACGTAAATACAGAGATGCATGATATTACTGTAAATACGGATGCTATGTATACGTGAATACTGCGATGTTATGTATATGTAAATACGGCGGGTATGTATGTATACCTAACAATACAGGATGTATGTATACGTAAATACAGGATGTATGTATACGTATAAATACGGATGTATGTATACGTGAATACTGGATGTATGTATACGGTAAATAACAGGATGTATGTATTACCTAAATACGGGATTATGTATACGTAAATACAGGATGTATGTATACGTAAATACGGGATGTATGTATACCGGAATACTGGATTTTTGTAATTTTGTATACGTAAATAGGGATGTATGTATACGTCAAATTACGGGATGTATGTATTACGGTAAATACAGGATTGTATGTATACGCTAATACACCAAGATGCTTACTAATAAGGGATGTTATGTATTACGTAAATACGGGATGTATGATACGTAAGATACGGACTGTATGTATACGTAAAATGCACAGGATGTATGTATACGTAATACAGATGATATGTATATGTAATAGCTGAATGGATATCGTAATAACGTATCGGATGTATGTATACGTAAATACATGTGATGTATCTAAGTAATTACTAAGATGTAATTACGTTTCGGATGACTGTAAGTGTAAATACGGGATATATATTATATATATATATATATACCATATATATATATAATATACATATTATTATATATTATATAAATGATAGTACATCTCGCTAAAACCGGAAACGTTTTTGGAAAACGTGACGAGTTTCTGGACGGAATTGGAGAGAATTTGGTCAAAGCTGACCGGAAGTTGAGCGTCGCTGTTTGCGGTCCGGCCGTTGATGGTGATTGGTCCGTTGCTGGAATCGTCGCCGCTGTTGCTTAGCAACGTGTCGCCGCTGTCGTCTGACTGTAACTAACGAATCACGTGTAAGTTACACCAGTAGCAGAGCACGCACGCACGCACACACACACAGACGCACACACACACACACACACACACACACACACACACACACACACACACACACACACACACACACACCTGTAAGCGATCCTCTAGACAGGTTTGTTTTTCTTTTCCCCCATAGGCGGCGCTGTAAGCTTGCTCAATCATACACACTAGCTCTCGCTCGTCGTCGCTCATCCCGTCGGTCACGTGACAGCGTCGAAGCGCCGCGTCGTACTTCCGTTTTCGCTTGTTCTCCTCGATCAACTTCCGCTTTGCCTTCCGCTGCTGTTCGTTCAGAACAACTGGAAATATGACGTCATCGTGTCATCGGTGAGTCACATAGTTTGTGTGTAGTAGGCCAACATGAATATTAGCGACAGTCGTGTCTGTATCTATCGTAAATATTCTATGGCTAGTAGCTACTGCTTTTACTAATACATTCTTAATACAATAATATTGTATTAATTTTGAACGTTTGTTTGCGATATTTTTTTTTTGCATTAGAAGTCTCTTGGTGTATAGTTGCATGTCTATGTAAATGGTCGCTGCTTTAATCTTTATGGAGGTACTCTACTTTACGTGATGCTCGAGCGCCATCTGTTGGCTGCGCGTGTTCTTGTGCCGTAGTAAGTAATAAGTGTTAGTAACTAATAGTAGTAAGTAATAATTAGTAGGTAGTATATATAGCTCACGGTCTATCGCCATGCCGACGTGCATGCACTTCATGTAGCGGCACTGTTGACACTGGTTGCGCGTGTTCTTGTGCCGTAGTAAGTAATAAGTATTAGTAACTAATAGTAGTAAGTAACAGTAGTATCAGTAGTATTAGTAGTAAGTAATAATTAGTAGGTAGTATATATAGCTTACGGTCTATCGCCATGCCGACGTGCATGCACTTCGTGTAGCGGCACTGTTGACACTGGTTGCGCGTATTCTTGTCGACAACACACGGAGCTCCCGTCTTCATGCTCTTACAGTCGTACGTCAGCTGCTTCTGTATGGTGCGGCGGAAGAAGCCCTGCAGAAGAGAGGAAGCCCCACGTATAGCTGTCAATCCTCGGAGAGGGGGCGTGGTGATGACGTAGCGAGCGGTGCCCCGGGGGAGGGAGGGGAGGGGTTGCGCGAAGGGGCTGGGGCAGGGTGATGGTGAGGGTGAGGGGCAGGGGAGTGGTGAGGGAGGAGGGGGCAAGGAAGGGGTGAGGGGCAGGTAAGGAGGTAAAAAAACTGTAAGGAGGAAAATGGGAGAGGCACAGAGGAGGTGTGACGCATGGCTGCGTGAGAAATGCCACGCTAGTAGCGATGACGTCACGCCACGCTAGTAGCGATGACGTCATGCCACGCTAGTAGCGATGACATCATGCCACGCTAGTAGCGATGACGTGACGCCACACTAGTAGCGATGACGTGATGCCACGCTATTAGCGACGACGTCATGCCACGCTAGTAGCGATGACGTCATGCCACGCTAGTAGCGATGACATCATGCCACGCTAGTAGCGATGACGTGACGCCACGCTATTATCGATGACGTCATGCCACGCTATTAGCGATGCCGTCATGCCACGCTATTAGCGATGACGTCATGCTACGCTATTAGCGATGACGTCATGCCACGCTAGTAGCCATGACGTCATGCCACGCTAGTAGCCATGACGTCATGCCACGCTATTAGCGATGACGTCATGCCACGCTATTAGCGATGACGTCATGATATGAGATGTAAATAGACACGGCGGGCTCACGCCTAATAACATTTCACTTGCTTTTCGTACATCAAGGCCGAATGTTTTTTTTTGTTTACGCATTTCCGTCAAAAACAAAACGCGTGCGCAGACGGCAGACGCTGTATGATATTCAGGTACATATCGCCGTCTTTACGCGCGCAGGGGCGGCACTGCTTTCATGTCGGAAATTCGATTGGCAGAGCTTTCCGAGATATTATATTTCGCGCCCCGGGGTTCGATACACTTCACGCTTCGATCGCATGAAACATGTACCGCCGCGACGACGACGACGACGACGACGACGATGATGATGATGATGAGATTGTCGCCAGAGGGCGTGTGCGCGCGCGTGTGCGTCGATAGTGCGGTGAGAAGAGAGAGAGTGAGGAGGTGGAGGGGAGAGGAGGGGGTGGGGAGGAGAGAGGAAGGGGGGGAGGGGTAAGAGGGGGAGGAGGTGGAGGTGGAGGAGAGAGAGAGAGAGAGAGAGAGAGAGAGAGGAGGGGAGGGGAGGAGGAGAGGAGGAGGAGGAGGAGGAGGA